GGTTTACTAACCATGTCAAGGTACTTGCTAAGGGTAACAATACATACAGATCTTAAATAATTTAAAAACAAGAAAGTACTATAGGCCTCGAGATACTGATTTTTTCACTATGTAAAACACAATAATCTTAAAATGCCATTCAAAATCCAAAGAACTATTATTCAGTCATCAATGGACGATTTCAGTTAAAAGGGCTGGCTAAAGTGGCCTAGATAAGCCACCTTTGACATAAAACATGTACTAATATATTTCACCAGTGCTTAGAGCATGGAAAGTAGCACATCAAGCAATTACCACAGAAGAATGTGAGCCTCTGGCTCTTCCATCTTAAAAAGCCAGGCCAGGCGCAGTGGCTCACGCCTGTAATCCCAGCACTTTGGGAGGCCAAGGCAGGTGGATCACCAGGTCAAGAGATCGAGACTATCCTGGCCAATGTGGTGAAACCCCGTCTCTACTAAAAACACAAAAATTAGCTGGGCGTGGTGGTGTGCGCCTGTAGTCCCAGCTACTTGGGAGGCTGAGGAAGAATTGCTTGAACCTGGGAGGCAGAGGTTGCAGTGAGCCAACATCAAGCTATTGCACTTCAGCCTGGGTGACAGAGTGAGACTCCCATCTCAAAAAATAAACAAGCAAACAAACAAAAAGCCGACCCCTCAGAGACAGGTATTGAGATAGTCTTTCACTGAGCATCTCCCATTTCCCCAAACTTCAAATGCCAAAGAAGCTTGGACCTCAAAGCGTTCATCTTCACGAGGATAATTATGTTCTTTATATTGAGTCTTCTTGGAACTCACAAAGGTGGAGGCCTAAGGCCACCAAAAGAAAGAAACCCGGGTATCATTTAAAACCTTTGGGTAGAAGAAGAGAGATTGAAAAAAAAAATGCCTAAAAAAGCTTTCTGGTGATTAAAGATTCTCAATAAAATGACAGAACTCTAGGGGAGAAATAGGCAACTAACATTACTTCACAAATTTCACCTTCAGCAAGTTTACAAAAAGGTATTAGTAAGGAAAGGGTTCTGGATATAAGTGGAAAACATGACACCAGGTGCAGTAGCTCACGCCTGTAATTCCAGTGCTTTGGGAGGATGAAGCAGGAAGATCGCTTGAGCCCAGGAGGAGTTCAAGCCCGCATCTTTACACAAGTAAAACCTTGGTTTTTTGTTTTTTTTAAGACCGAGTTTTGCTCTTGTTGCCCAGGCTGGAGTACAATGGCATGATCTTGGCTCACCGTAACTGCCACCTCCTGGGTTCAAGCAATTCTTCTGCCTCAGCCTCCAGAGAAGCTGGGACTACAGGCGTGCATCATCACCCCCACCTAATTTTGTATTTTTAGTAGAGACGGGGTTTCTTAATGTTGCTCATGCTGTTCTCAAACTCCCAAACTCAGGTGATTCGCCCACCTCGGCCTCTCATACTGTCAGGTTAACAGGCATGATCTACTGTGTCAGGCCCAGTAAAAATTTTTATTTTTATATTTTTAGCTGGGTGTAGAGGCATGTGTCTAAGTCCCAGCTACTTGGGAGGATCATTTGAGCCCAGGAGGTTGAGGCTGCTATAAGCCATGATCACATCACTGCACTCCAGCCTGGTGACAAAACGAAACCCTGTCTCAAAAACAAATAAAAAAAAAATTAAAAACATTTTATTTTTCAAAAGGATTAAAAGGGTTCTTAATTTCATCATTCACATAATTTCTCAATCCTTGGTACTACCACTCCCTTCCGGAGAAAGCTGAGGACCCAGTGATCCCTGCTAGGGAAGGCCTTACCTCTTTACAGAGAGGAGTCCGTCCGGTACACTTGGGCTGCTGGTAACTCTTTGGTAGGGCTCGACAGCTGGAGCCCAATCATTTACAAGAGGCATAATCTATCTCCATGGCAATGCCCTCTGTGGCTCGCTCCTTTGGAAAAGTTTCCAGATGTACAGACTCCTTATAGCCCAGAAAGTTTTTAAACCAATTAAACAACTCAGGGAATTTCCTGAAGAATCAAACCAAAAAGCAACAAGCAATCAGAGGCATGATACAGTCATCCTGAGGTGTGACCACCACCATCTGGTTTCAGATCAAACCTGCTGCCAAGGACAAATTCTTTCCTGCCTAAGAAGCACTGCTTCTGAGCATCTGGTTTCCCCTTTTTCTAATAAAATACGCTCAGATCAGTTAAAGTGGTGATAAAAGAGTTGTACTGAAACCAGGCAAAATAAGCCATTCTTTCATCAAAAATATTGCTTTCACGTTCTCATAATTCTTAGGTTGTCAAATACAGAAAAGATTCCAGAACTCTGGGAGAGAAAAGGCCAAGCGTGGTGGCTCAGGCTTGTAATCCCAGCACCTTGGGGGGCCGAGGCAGGCGAAGCACCTGAGGTCACAAGTTTGAGACCAGCCTAACCAACTTGGAGAAACCCTGCCTCTACTAAAAATAGAAAATTAGCTGGGCATGGTGGTGCCTGCCTGTAATCCCAGCTGCTCAACAGGCTGAGGCAGGAGAATCACTGGAACCCAGGAGGCGGAGGTGGCAGTGAACCGAGATCGCACCATTGCACTCCAGCCCGGGCAACAAGAGTGACTGTCCATCTAAAAAAAAAAAAAAGACTCCAGAACTCTGGGAGAGATTTTTCTCGATAAACATCCAGCACTGGTCAGAAATCAGGAGGCCACCAGTCTTGGACATTAGTCAATAAACACTTACTGCCCTCACTATCTTCTCACCTCTAGAGTTGGACTAGAAGACTTCTCGGGACTCTTTTGACACTAACATTTGAGTCAACTGACCCATCTCCAGTAAATTAACTGTCTGTCACCTACCCACAAATCAAATACTACCGGGCCTCCACAACACACATCAGAACTAAGCCCCTCACTTCACTTACCCCAGGAAAGGAGAGACTAGCTGCACAAGAGGCTGAGTTGGGAGGATTGCTTCAAGCTGTTCCCACACCACTGCACACCAGCCTGGGTAACAGAGTGAGTCCTAACGTAAAAGAAAGAAGAAGGAAGGAAGGCAGGGAGGGAGGGTGGGAGGGAAGGAAGAAAGAATAAACGGCTGGGCACAGTGGCTCACACCTGTAACCCAGCAGTTTGGGAGGCCGAAGTGGGCACATCACTTGAGTAAAGGAGTTCAAGACCAGACAGGGGAATATGGCAAAACCACATCTCTATGAAAAAGATAAAAATTTAGCCAGGTGTGGTGGTGTGCACCTGTGGTCCCAGCTATTCAAGAGGCTGAAGTGAAAGGATCACTTGAGCCCAGGAGACTGAGGCTGCAGAGAGATGTGATCATGTCACTGAACTCCCGCCTGGGTAACAGAATGAGACCTAATCTCAGTAAAAACACAAAAAAGAAGAAAATAGGGCTGCACACAGTGGCTAACGCCTGTAACACGGCACATTTGGAAGTTGAGGTTGCCAGATCACCTCATTTCAGGAGTTCAAGACCAGACTGGTCAACATGACAAAACCCCATGTATACCAAAAATACAAATAGCCAGGCGTGGTGGGGTGCAGCTGTGGTCCCAGCTGTTCAAGAGACTGAGGTGGGAGGATTGTTTAGCCAAAGAGGTTGAGGCTGTAACAAGCCGGGATCATGACACTGCACTCCAGCCTAAGCAACAGAGAGAGACCTAATCTCAATAAATAAATAAATAAGAAAAAGGGCTCATGCCTGTCAGCACTTTGGGAGGCCGAGGTGAGCACATGACTTGAGATCAGGAATTTGAGACCAGGCTGGGCAACACGGCCAAACCCCAACTGTATTAAAAAAAAAATTAGCCAGGCGTGGTGGTGTGCACCTGTGGTCTAAGGTATTCAAGAGGCTGAGGTAGGAGGATCATTTCTGCCCAGGAAGGTTAGGCTGCAGCGAGCTGTGGTCAAGCGGCTGCACTCCAGCCTGGGTAACAGAGCAACACCTAATCTCAAAAAAAGGAAAAAAGGGCTGGGCACAGTGGCTCTCAGTGGTATCCCAGCATTTCGGGTGGCCGAGGTGGGCAGATAACTCGAGTTCAGGAGTTCAAGCCCAGAATGGGCAACATGGCAAAACCTCATCTCTACCAAAAATACAAAAAATTAGCCCGGTGGTGATATGCACCTGTATTTTCAGCTATTCAAGGGGCTGAGGTGGGAGGATCCTTCAGCCGGGAGGTTGATGCAGCACGCGGGGCCACGCCGCTGCACTCCAGCCTGGGTAACAGAACGAGACCTTACCTCAAAGGGTAAAAAAAGGAAAGGAAGAAAAAAGTGATGGGCACAATGGCTCAGGCTTACAGGCTGAGGTGGAGGCTCGCTTGTGCCCAGGAGTTTCAGGCTGCAGCCAGGAGTGACCACGGCTTTGCACTCCAGCCTGGGTGACAGAGCAAATTCAAAAAAAAGAAACGGGAGGCACAACGGCTCAGGGCTGTAACCCAGCACTTGGAAAGGCCGAGGTCTTGACTCACCCTCTGGCCTCAGCCCAGGCTGGCGGGATCGCCCTGAGGCGGAGGCTGCCAGGACCCCGCGGCCAGGCCGCCCCTGCTCCGGGACCTCCCGCCGGTCTGCGGGCGTCGGTGTGGGGCCGGCTGGGTGCGCGGGCTTTCCTGCGTGCACACGTGTGCCGGCGCCGAGCGAAGGGAGAGCGCGGTTCTGGAATGGCGTGTGTGCAGATGTGCGCCATGCACGGACCTGCAGGCACGGGTTTGCATGCTTGGCGGCGGCCTGTGTGTCAGCCTGCTGGATGCACGTGCGTCTCAGCCCGCCGGGAGGGGCTTGGGGACACCCGGAAGCCGGCCAGGTCGGGTGCCGCTGCAGCCTCAAAGCCAAGTCGGCTGTGGGCCCCAGGCACCAGAGTCATGCTCAGGGCGGGTAGGAGAGGGGATAGAGACCGATCCGTTCTCCTTCCCCTCCACTGGAGACTTGGGGCTGCCCCAGGTTGGGTTGTAGCGTCTGGAGAGCCCCGAGCCTCAGGTAGGGAAGGTGGGAGGTGGAAGAACCCTCAGCGAGGCCCGATCCAGCCCTCCCGGAGCATCCAGATGACGGCCACAATTGGGCAGAATCGAGCTCTTCCTGGTCTTTCCCATCGGCCATCCCGAGGCCCCTGGAAGGTGAAAGCGGAAACGGAGACACAGAGCTGTTCCTTTCCCACTGCCTAAGGCAGGGGTGGTGCTGCGGTGGTGGGCTGTTCTCCGAGACCCTGGCCTGGGTGCTGAGTGAGGTTGGAGCTTGGCAGGGAGGATCAACAGGGCTGCTTCTCCACGTTGACCTGAGCCTGCTCCTTGGGCACGTGCCCTGTACTAGAGCCTGATTGCCTCACTGTGGGTCAGGGAAGGAGGCACCTACATTTTGGCAACTGTTTTGAATGGAGGAGCAGCCTCCCTTGAGGGACTGTATTCTGGGCTCTCCACCTCCTACTGGCAGGAGAAAGGTTACTCCCACACCCCTAAGAGTTCTCTGTGGGCTCCATGAAGCCCCCACCCCTCCCACAAAGGCTCCCGAGGATCCCAGGTGGCCTCCTGTCTACTGGCTGGGTCCCAGGTGGGAGCCTTAAGAAGTCTCCAGGGCAAAAGTTATCGCATGGGCTGAGGCCCAGGAGAGAGAGAGACTCCTGGGGTTGGGGGTGGGGACCCAGCAGGCCCCAAGGAGCATGTGGGGAGGACAGACTAAAGTCAGCACTTAACACAGAGTGTCCCAAGGGTGGGGGTGGGGAGGGTCCACACCCCAAAACCCTACAATGCCTTCGCACAGCATTGCTGTGGAGTGAGAAGGGGGCTTTCACCTTCATAAGGGGCTCTGTCCACCAAGGCCCCTGACTGCCAGGGAAGCCACACACACAGTTCCCTTCTTTCTGAATGCTGGCCCTTCCACAGCCTGGATGCTTGAGCCTGGGCAGAGGGGTAACGACCCCACGACTGTCTTCACAAGCAGAGAGGCTAGTTGTCACCAAGCTCTGACTCTTCTGGCTGAGCTCAGTAGCAGGCCTGTCATCAAGGCCCCCTGGACAGAAAGGGCTCAGTCCTGACGACCTAGCACTCCCCACACCTGCGTGTCCCTGCTGGGCATCAACCCTGGGGACCCAGCTTTCCCCCTGCCTCCAGTTGCTGGCAGCCCCACCTTGACACATCCAGGGTCCCTGAGGCCACACCAAGAAGCAGTGGGCAGCTGGGAGGAGCACCTGCTGTTTCTGCATCTTTTTTCTGGAGCTCACTTGGGTGGGAGGGGCTACAGACTCCAGGGACCCTGCAGGCCACGCCCCCCACTCCCTGGCTGAGTGAGCTTCCTTCTCAGTAGTCTGACTGGAGGCTGGGACCCTCCTGTCACAGAGAAAGGTCTGAGTAGTCCAGGCCCGTTCCTACTCTCCAGCAGGGCCCTTCCTGTTCATTTGTGCAGCTGCTTTTCCCAAAGCACAGATGAAGTCTGTGTGGACTGTGTCCCTTGTCCCCAAAGGGAGTGTGGCTCCAGTCCTGGCCTGGAACTCGGATGCCTTAGAATTAGAGGCCACATGTGGCAGGGTGGAGCAGCGTGGTCTGCCCACGACCAGGGCAGGTACCACATTGGCAGCCCGAAACCTGACACCACGGCTCCCGTGTCCCCTCTCCACTTCCGTCCAGCGCATCACCTACACTACGTGCTGCCCCTGATGAATCCGGACTGTCAGCTTCCCCAGATTAGCTGGGAAGTCCCCAGGTCTGTCTACCCTTGGACACGGCCCACCTACCTTCCTGTGGGACTCAGGGCTTTGTTTTGTCCTGTGGCCCACATGAGAAGCAATTATCCCTACCCTGCTCAGCTGAGAGAGGTAAACTGAGGCAGAGCAGGGGAACAACTCTGTTGTAGTCTGTATGTTAATAGCAGAGTCAAGAGCAGCCCTTCCCCAAGTGGTCAGGTCCAGTGGACACCAAGCATGGAGGCTGTATCAGTCTGTTTTGCATTGCTCCAAAGGAATACCTGAGACTAGGTCATTTATTTATTTCTTTCAAGGGATTGGCAGGGCCACTAGGCTGAGGGTTGGAGCTCCGTCTCCTAGTCCCAGCCTGGGTCTCCATCACTGGCTAGCCGGCTCTGCTCGCTGCGTTCTCTCCACACCTGCCTCCTGCAGCACAGGGGTCAGTCTGGGTGCAGGCCTGGGAAAGGTCCAGGAGCGATTCTGCCCCCCAGCTCATGCCTCCTCTGCACCAAGGCAGCCAAAATGCATCAGCAGAACCAGGAGCGCTGGCTTGTCCCTGTATACCAGTGTTTTTGGAGGCTGAGGTGGAAAGATCGCTTGAGACCAGCCTGCACAACATAGCAAGACCCTGTCTCTACAAAAAATAAAATTACGCATGGTAGCATGTGCCTGTAGTCCCAGCTATTCAGGAGGCTGAGGTGGGAGGACCGCATGAACCCAGGAGGTCAAGGCTGCAGTGAGCTATGATTGCACCACTGCACTCCAGCCCAGGCAACAGAGCAACACCCTGTCTCTAAAACAAGAAATAAAGTGCACCCGTGTGTGGAATCCAGCTTCTGGTGTGTGGACCGGACCTCACTTGGTCCCAGCAGTGAGTGGGAGGCTGCCTGCTGTCTTCCAGAACATTTCCACCACTATACCTGTGTCCCTCCTGTGTTCCCTGGCAGGCTTTGTGAGGGGGCCTGTCACCTACCCCTCTGGCTTCCCTAAGGCACAGCTCAAACCTTCCTTGCCACTGAGAACCTTTTCCTGAAGAGTCTCACCCTTACCCGCAGGCCTCCTCATTTCAGAGCTTTTGGTGGGGTGAGTATGAGGATTGACTCACTGCTACCAGCTGAGAGGAATTGTCCCTAAGGTTGGGTATCTGGATGGCATGTGAGGATCCAGACAAGGACCCAGATGCCTGTAACCTGAAGGGCAAGGGCCTCAGCTGCCTGGTCTTCACACAGCGCCTCATCCAGCCTGAACTTCTGGGACAGGCCAGACCCCTCCATCCTTTGGTCTTGGTCCCTACTGCAAACTCTGGTTTCCCTGGCTTACCTACTTTGACTCCAAAGGTAATAATCCCGACATCCCCCATGAGACAGAGTGACAGACTGAGACTATCGTAGGGTTGCCTGGCTCAGAGTCACCATAGCCAGGCAGAGCTCAGGTCCTGGCCCTGTTCAAGATTTCCCCAAAGCCCTTCTAGCTGTGGTAACTGGGTTCTTCCTCACCCAGCTGCAGCTTCGCCGGCCCCTTCCACCAGGTGACTCAGAACCTGGCAGTCTGTGACCCATAGAAGCCTTCACTTTCCTTCTGGTAAGGGATGAGAACCAGCTTAGAGCGGGAGGGAAGAGGGGTCTGGGGGCCCTCCCAGCCCTGCCTCTGGCATTTGAAGGATGGTGACTGGGCAGCAGCATGGTTTAGGCTAGACAAGATGGCCCCTAGGTTTATAGCCTGGCCACAGACAGTTGCTGCCATGTCACCTTCTCTTCTGCACGTGCAGACCTGGCATCCCACCTAGTTAAAGGTCCTCAGGCCTCCTGTCCCTGGGCATTTCCCCCACTCCCTGCCAGGCACAGCTGTCCTTGACCTGGACTCATCTTCAGAGATTCTTGTCCAGCACACAGCTTCGCTGGACGTCGCTGGCTGTTCCGGTCTCCCTGCCCTGCACTGACATCTCTTTATGAGTCTCAACTAGATTGAGCTGCAGCTTCAGGGTCAGGACAGGCTCTGACTTAATTGATGTGACCCAGGACCAGGGGGTACATCTGCTTGAGTTCTTGGCCTCTATGGTCTCTTTGGGGCACGATGCCCCTCTGTCTCATGCTTAGGTGCCCACATGTGGCCACAAGTGCTTTTCCTACCACCATCCATACTTCAGGCGGCTGTCCAGGCACCTGTGGCTCCAGGCAGAAGCGTCAGTGCAGAGCCAGGCCTGGGCGGATGTTCCACAGGTGCTGCAGGAGCTGACAGCCTTGGCCACGCAGCCCATGTCCCTCCATTCCCCTTCACTGTGGCTGCCCCCAATCCACCACCCTTCCAGACCCAGGCCTAGAACCAAACTGACTTCTATCTGGCCCTGGCAGGTTCTTGGCTGTGCATGATGGTCTTGCCCATTTCCTTGATTATCCTCAAAAAGAGGTTTATAGAGCCATGTGGGGACATCACATCTATCTACCAGGTCCTCACCAGAGACATGACTGCCTTGGGCCAGACCTGGGACAGTCAAGGGTTACAATTGCCTGTTGGGACCCAGATTCAGTGGCCTCAATCTAGGCAATCGGCTGATGGGCAGCTGTCACTTCTCCTCTGCTTGGGGGAGGCAGGAGAGGAAGGTCAGGAAGGAGATCTGCTTGGCACCCACCTGTGCCTGTCTCACCTGGCTGCAGGTACATTGGAGGCTGAACCCCTTTCCTGATCTCCTGCAGGTGTGGATTTCAGGTTTCCAATGGGTGTCAGGGTGAGCTCCAGTGCTCTGCTGGCCCTAAGGAACCCTGGGCTCCATGAGGCCTCAGCCTAGGCAGGATTGTTTCCCACACTGTCATCTCCCCATACAGTCACCTCCCCAAACACTGGGCTGCATGCTCTGGTAGATTTAAAAGTTTAAAAGCAAAAGCCCACCCCTCCTCTCTCCAGGAATGGGTGGCCCCTCCCCTCTCAGAGTGGGTGAGGACAGGAGTTGCAAGGTCAGCTTTCCTTGGGATGCCACAGGTCCCTCCAGAGCTGCTGCTGCCTGGCCACGCCTCCTTTCCCTTTCATCTTTCTCACGGACCAATGGGCTTGGAGCATGGAGGCCACGCCCCTATTCTACATTCTATTGGGGCCCTGGTTACGCCTCCTCTGGCTCAGTCAACACAGCTGCCTGGTAGGAGAGTGGAGCTGCTTACCAGTGCTCCCTTGAATTGTGCTGATGTGGCCCCAACCCCACCTCCCTCACCAACCTCCCCCACCCACCATGGCAATGTCAGAAGAAATTCGCAAGATGAAATTAGCCTCGGCTAGGAAAAAGGTAACATGCACACAGATCCCCTCTGATGGCAAGACCACTGCCAGAGTCCATAACACTTCTGAGACACACCAGACTGGGTGGGCCCCCAACCCCGGTGGCTCTGGGCTCCCCCTACCAACGCCTTGTCAGTCAGCCCCACCCCTTCAGCAAGGAGCCCAGCCCCAGTCTTGCCAATCACCCCAGGGTGACTTTGGATGTGTAACTCCTGAGACTCCCCGCTCCCTACTTGGGCCTCACCTTTTCCTGCCCCAAGCCTGACCCCCCTGGGCTCTGTGGGCTCCTGTCTCTGAGGACCTGGGTCTCCTAGTCCCCACCCTTTCCTGTCATTTCTGGGTGACTTTGGGCTGGTGACTCCTGGGAATCCCTGCTGCAAACTCTGCCCTCCCCTCCTGTTCCCCCAGCGTGACCTCCCTGTGCTCTTTGGGCTGGTGTCTCCAAGGACCTGGGTCCAAGCCCTGCATCGCCCTCCCCCATCATGGAGCAGTGACTCAGGCATCTCCTCGATGTGGTCCCCTCCCCCAGGGGGAGTGGAATGTAATGATGTCA